CAGACCAGAGAAGTGAAGAATACATGTTTTTGGATTAAATATGAGGATTCTGGGAAATGGACCAGACTGCAGCACATTTTCATTATATTAAGGATATGCTGCTGAGTATTTCAGCTGAACAAAGATTTGTGTTTGCTTAAGAATAAAGATATTGTGGGCCTGGAGGAATCAGGCCAATATTTTTCCATTTTATAATTAGTCGATATACATATCTAAATAAATTAGTATAAAGCTCAGAATCTCATAGAAAGAATCAGTGCAACAAAGGCAGCAGCATTTCTTCCTGGGTTAAGTGAGGAATGGGAAGCTGAACATACTCTGCCTTTCCACGAGAGGAGAACCATGCAGTACAGATGCCCCTTGCCAGGTGCCGAGAGGAAAACAAAGTCAAGGGCTTGAGTTTTATAAGGCCACTAAATCTGGGTTTCTAATGTTAGTTTTTCAATATCTTTGAGATTAATAAGTATGAAATCACTAGTCCTCTTAATTACTGCATGTCTAGCGGTTCTGTGCCCTCCGTGGGTTTCAAAACAAGATGCTCTAAATTACAGTCTGGTATGAATTTTCTTCTAAAAAATACTCGTTCAAAGCAGAGGATGCCAAGTTGAGTGTGTGCGTGAGAACGCTGGGCGGCAGGAGGGAGATGCACAAATGACAGAGAGGTATGTGGGGGATGCTTGGATACATGGAAGCAGTAAGTACAGCGTAACGTCTTGACAGGCAGGGTTATGTCATGTTGTGTTCCAAATAAGTGTAGGGACTGTTAAATATTTAGAATTATTCAGTGTTTTCTAGCAGCTCCCCTCAAATCCCCCCAAATAAGCTTTATTTTTGTAAGTATACACCATTAATACATATTTGCAAAATAAATATTTCTCACTGCACATTACTACAGGATCACATAATGAGCTCTGCTCTCTCAGAGTCATTAGGATGCAGTCTACATTTCCTCACTTTCAGTATTTTATGTTTTCTAGTGAATTTTACCTTCAATTAGGGTTTTTTGGAGGGGCAGGGAGGGGTTGTTTTGGGTCTTTCTTTCTTATAAACATTACTATTAGTTTCTCTCTTGGATTTAAAGATCAGTGATTTACTTTAGGAACCGGGCAGTTGTTCTGTCATGCATCTAAATAAATAACTATTCAGACCAGATTAGAATTTCTGCTTTTCACTGACAACTAATTTGCCGGTTATGGCCTGTTACGTTTCATACCATTATCGCCTAGTTTTCAGAAAGTAACACACACTCTGGAAGCCTGGCAAGGGTGGTCTGCATTTGTATTTAGATATGTAGAAAGAAGACAAGATTGCTTATTGCATTCACTTTGTACTCATTGCTAGCGTTTATTTGTTCAAGCATATAATCTGGGTAGTCATAGTCCTTGTAAGATTATAAAATCGAGTCTAACATGGGAAAATACATTTTTAAACAAACAAACAAAAATGTGCGTTTGCCCCTCTGCCTTCAGTGAGCCCCTTCACCACTGATGTGTCTAAAACTCTTTTCCAGATTGTCCTTAAGAATTGAACCGGGAAACAGTTCTCCTCGACTGGTCTCCTCCAAGGAAGATCTTGCAGGTACAAAAAGTGATTGTGAATGTTTGCTTGTGAGCACTGTATCTGCCGTTACACAAATCTTTTCCTGTAGTTTGTGAAACTGGAGTTTCTGGGTTTTCGGGGTGTGGGGGGGGGAGAATGTCATTTATTTCCAATGGGAAATCTTCTTTTTATTGTCATTAGAGAAGTATGCTAAAAGATCTGTTAGAAAATCGGTGCCTCACTCTGAAGTCTTTCAGCTTTGAGCTTCCCCTGGTATCGGCGATACAGAAAATGTAACAGGAACACAGGTATTGCAAGGGGCTGTGCCAATCATCAAGTCCAGTCGCCTGTTGCTTGGGGGAACCATGTCACATAATCCCATTCATACATAAATACATCAAACTCCATCCTTAAACCAGTTGAGTTTTGCACTGCCTGCTGCATTTGGGAGGTTGTTCCACAACCTCCCTGCTCTGACCTTTAGGGACCTTGTTTTGATTTCCAGCCCACATTTACCCGTGGCTATTTAAACCTTTTTTGAGCCAGCATTTTTCTTTCACTTAAAAAGCTCTTCTCTCTGACTGGTGCTTACCCCCTAGTATACTAAACACAAACCCTTCTGTCCTGTCAGCCTTCATTTGACTAAGTTAACTGCCTAAATTTCCAGTCTCGTTTCCTGAGACAGAGGTAGAATTATGACTGATATCATTTTCTAAAGTGAGCACCTGATCTCTCAGTATGCTTCTAATATTATGTAGAAGTGACCACGGGGTAAAATAGGCAATCGATGGACAGTAAGTTGCTCATCATGTAGTCAGCTGGGGAATTCACTTTCCTAGTTGGACAGAGTCAAATATTTTAGCAATGTTACAGAAACAGCTGGATAACTTTATATAACTCCTTTTGTAAGTGGCAAATTAAGATCTGGGGATTCAGATATCATGTTTGCAAACTGATTCCCTGCAGGGGTCAAGAAGGGAATTTTCCTTTCGGATTTGCAGTAGAATGGCAAATGCTCTTAACTTTATAAAAGTAAGTGAAAGTAGCTTGATTTCAGAAGTAACTCTTCACTTGCAGAGACTGTAGATGAACCTTGTATTCAGTGTTCGAAAGGATGAGTTTATCTATCTGTAATTTCCCTGAATTTGGAGATGGAGGATTTTTTAGGTCAGTAGTTGGCAAACTCCACATTTTTAATAGCCACTGTGCAAGCCAGCGGGGTATTTTTCTCTGTCCTTACTTATGAGTGAAAGTATAGAGAAATTCCAGCACAATGTGTCTCTAGAGCTAATCCCAGGCTGGCCAGGGTGCCAGCACTGCCAGCCAAGTCTGTCTCCCCACTGGCCTTGTTACCGCATTGGAACCTGCCAGGAACCATCATCCCTGGTGGCATTGCTCAGTGCTTCTTTGTCGGACCTGTTTCCGTCAGGTGGCCCACTAACGAAAAGGCATTCTCTGGCAGAGGAGCCATTGAGCAAGATTGCTAAGTTGCAAGCAGACAACCGGTTCCTGAGGAATAGCTAGTGGATGGAGAAAGTGGATGGAGTTGCTGTTTTATACAAAGTTGTGCCTTTTCATTAGTGCCTATCAAATAAATAGAAAGCAGAACTGCATCACTTCTGCTGGGTCTGATTAAGTGGAGTAAGGTAGCAAGAGGTAAGTTCTTCCTGCACAGTTGCGTGTAAAGGGACAAATGCAGCTGAAGCAAGGAAATCCCATCGTGCCTGGGTGGGACAGGATTGCGTAGCAACTTCCCGGGATCAGCTAGCATGTGCAGGGGTTCATAATGTAACAGAGATCATGACTGGAGCCCGTTGCCCTCAAGCGTCAACAGTGTCTGCTAAGACTAGCTACTGCGACCTGTCGCAACTCAGTCACCACCGTTCTTCCCTCCCTCCCTCCCAGCGCGTCCTGGGTAGATGGGCATTTTATGGGGTCACTCTGTTGTCATGCAAATCAAGTGTCACAAGCACAATTTCATCCTCGCTGTTTGGAAGCAGACTGAAGAGGGAGACCACACCGTTCACGTTGCTTTGAAGGAATTTGGTTTCAGTGACTTGGGACAGCACAGATCTTTCATTACAGCTGGTCTTAGTGCCTTTTTACCAGGTTTAAGGTTAAATAACAACCTTTGCTAAGCCACCGTATTTCAGTTGGATCTGTGCACCGTACAGTCTTTATAAGTGTTTTGTGGGAACCTGGGTACAAGACACTGCTTTCCTTGACTTAACTGAGCAAACACTACAGATATTATGCAGTATGAATTGAAGTCATAGAAATGGAGCCTTGTTTTACCAAAACTAGGAAACATGTTTGATTAAAGAAACACTGTTGAGGTTGGTTGGCGCAAAATGTGACCTACCTTTTTATAGGGTATATGTTTCCAGAAACCATGTCATTCTGCCTGTGATGGGGGTTTGGGAGTTGGGAATGGTGGTTTGGAAAACAAGTTCTTCAAAACAAGCCTGCCTGCATTTCAGATGTAGCCATCCAATAACAAGGCAGTGTTTACAGCCCAGGCCTGGTAGACAATAGCAGCTGAGTGTGTAACAGGCTCCCTGAACAGTCGCACGCTGGTGTGCGCATGCAGTGCGAGCAGGTGAGAAGTGTCTGGATGCAGGTTTCTGTTTCTGAGCTTCTAAAGGGCTTTTCTAGTCAGTGAGGGCAAGTGTTCGTATAAACTGAAATTCATCTTCATAGCTTGGCTGCATCCTTTCAAATACAAGGAACATTTTATCAGATGCAATGTTTCTCAGTGTTCCCTGGCCGCCTTCGCAGTATCACGCTGGAGTTGCACGTGCTCCCAAGTAAATGCTTGCCTGGTGTTTCAAAGACACATATTATCTGGATGAGCAAGCTCATTTTTACTGAGGTAGCACCACGAGATGTATTGTCCCCCTAAAATACAAACACAGAATGCATTTCCGCATTTGGACTCCCAATGTTAGGCCCCAGCTAAGCTGTGTTGTTGATTTTCAGTTGTGCTGAACCTCCAAGGCTCCCAGCAGAAACTGGGGGTGAGTTGCAGTTTTAAAAACGAGGCCGACTTCTGCTTCCAGTGTACGATGCCCAAGCGAACCACTGGAAAAATTCCTGCCGCTTCAGCAATGGTACGCTCATCTCGACCTCCATTTCTGAGCAGTAATAAAATGGGTCTGACATGGAGCTGTTGCATGGAACCAGCGAAAGGTCAGTGCACGTCAGAACTGCGTGTACAAAGATTACGTATGGCAAAGATGGGAGGCCCTTCACAGAAATAGTGTCAATCTGCAGGGAATTCTTAAACACTGCCAAAATAGTTACAGGACAGGAGGGATTTGTTTTTGTGGAAAATTTAAGGAAAGGAAGTGGGGTAGGTCCCATCGCTTGGAACATTTACAGCTAAACTGGACAAAAAGCTGTGTAAACATACTATAAAAAATCCCTTTGTTGGCCTTTGCCCTAGATGACCTAAAAGGTGACTGTATTTTGACACTTGAGAGTGAAGCTGGAATATGCATGATTCATTATGAACTCTAGAAGAGTTGCTTTAATAGATCTCATCTTACTGAGATGTGCAGCAAATGGGATGTCTTGTCGGAAACCTTTAGAAGAATTGAACAGCTCTTGGCCAGGGGGTATCCTCTGTCATCAGTTTGAACATTTGGACCCAAGATTTGATAGATAATGAACAAGGAGTAAAATGAATATTGTCTGTGTTCTGCTCCCTCCTTGATGTTTATGCATAAGCTCCCACTCCTGCTTTGCAGAGCTCGAGCACACGCATCAGTGAGCAAGCGGCCTTGTCATTTCCAGTTGACTTGAAGAATATGTTGGCACCACATTGCTAAAAGCTATGAGAAAAGGAATGAAGCATTTGCAACATTGTCTAATTAGGTTGCTCACTTTGGAAAATGAGGAGAAATATAAATATTTCTCTGTAGCAGACTAAACAGATCAGCACATACAGATTATATTTACTGCTATAGGAGCTATTATCGCAAAGCCTGTTCTGTTTTAAACTGTTATCATGATTTGCCAACTTTGTGTCTCACTGTGCCGATGCAAAGCGGGGATGGGAAGAAGCAGGGAAAAACCCAGACCCAGTCTATTAAGTCATTTTATTTTACATTCAAAATGACATTTCTTATGACCAAAATCTTGACTGCTGAGACAGAAATCAAACAGAAGTGGGGAAAGAATATAGAGATGTGGTTTCCTTAGAGCATTGTATATCATCCCTGCGTGGAGCTCAGTAAAACGCACTTCAGCATGCTGTTAATGATGTCCATGAAATGCTTTTGCTGTCGTATAAAAAGCAGCAAAATAATATTTCCTATGTAATTGTCAAGCATGTTCAGACTGATGAGCTGGTGAACTGGTGTCCACAAGGTTCCGGTTTGCTGCCTTTGCCCTGTTCGAATCTTGTGAGCGTGGCTTGGATAACTAGGAGCATTTGGTCAGGCTTTTGTGGTTGTAAGTAGTCAAAATCATTCAGTTTTCTCTAAGTTTCCGTTTCTTACATTCGGTGCCTAAAATGCAAGATGGGACTTTGGCTGCAAGACAGAGCTCGTTACTTGACTTGATGAAAGCTGATTTTAATTTTCCAGCAGAAGGTATTTCAGTTCAGGGACTCAGTCCTAACACTGGAGATGCTCCAGATGTGGGGAGAAGGAGTAAAACCTGCACACAGGGTTTTGGAGGGAAACATT